GTCCGCAGCTGGAGGAGGAGGAGGAGGAGGAGGAGGAGGAGGAGGAGGAGGAGGAGGAGGAGGAGGAGGAGGAAAGGAGGAAGAGGAGGAGGAGGAGGAGGAGGAGGTGGACGACGACGACGACGACGACGACACTAGAACCACGCGCGCGCGCTTCGCGCGCGCTTAGGTTCCAGCGCAGTCCTAGCCAACCTCATAAGATCGGATGAGGATGGACATCATCTGGCAAGGGTCACCATATGGGAGCGTACTTCCTGGTGGGGAGACGCTGAATAAGCGCTCCAGGAAGTTGCGCAAGGCGTCCAGAAGAAGGACACAGGGCAGGCTCAGGCGGATGCCCGAGAACCCCTGAGAGCCTGGCAAGACCATGCTGGGAGTATTGTTGGATGCCTTTGGGGGACGTTCTTGAAAGCTCTTGGGGGTTTGGGGGGGTGGGGCATCTCGGGTTTTGGTTTGGGCTCTCCTGGTGGCATCTTAGGACTTTTTGGGGGCGCTTCGGGGGCCTCCCCTGGGCTCTTGGCATCTGGGCTCGAAATGTCGGTTTGGATCCCCGCCATTGTCCCCGTCTTGGGGCCGTCTTGAGGGCCTCTTGGGCCGTCGTGACGGCATCTGGGGCCGTCTTGGCGCTCTCTTTCGTCGTATTCGGGCCGTCGCGGAGATCTCATGGGCTGTCTTGGTGCTGTCTTGGGGACCTCTTGGGCCGTGTTGCAGCGTTGGGAAGCCGAAACAGCATGAGGGAGGCGGAGAGAGGAAGGCGTGAAGGAGAGACGATGGGGAGGGAAGAGGGAAAATGACGCAACGGGAAGGAAGCAAGCGGAGACTGACAACGAGGGATGGGGAAACCGGAAACACGTTCTGGGGCACGCACGCCAAAGCCTGGGACAAGAGGAAGCAAGGGGGGGGGCTGGGAGAGCGAGGAGGACGTGGAACGAGATACGCAGGAGAACCAGGAACAAGGGAGAGATCGGGGAGAACGAACAGCGAGGGGTGGGGGACACAGACACGCAGGAGGGAGGGGGAGAGACGAAGGCGTGAAGGAGAGACGAGGAAGATGGAGGGGGGACAATGACGCAGCGGGGAGGCGCAAGAGATCCAACAACAAGAAAAAACGATCAGGGACAACGGGCAACGAAGAATGGGGAAAACGGAACCGCTCTCGGGGGCACACCAAAGCCTGGGACTGGAGGAAACAGAGGGGGATGGCCTTGAAACAAAAAAATTGGGAAATCCTTTTCTTTTGCAAGCTGGGCCTCCCACCACTGAGTGGGGCAGGATGCTGGGTGAGGGCGGCGGAGGGAGGAAGGAATGAAGGAGAGATGAGGATGAGGGAGCGGGAAGACGGAAACGTATGAGTGAGGGGGAAAGAAGAAGGCGTGAAGGAGAGACGAGGTGGAGGGAGGAGGGAACACGACTCAGCGGGGAGGAGGGAGGCGGAGAGGAAGGAGAAACATGTGGAAAGTGAGGCGCACGAAACCCAAGAGCAGGAGAGAGAGAGAGAGAGAGAGACAGAGAGAGAGCAACTATAACAGACAACGAGGGATGAGGGAAACAGAACAGGCACTCGGGGGCACGCAGAAAACTGGGACAGGAGGGAACGGATGAGGGGGGTCGACCATGAAAACAAGAACGTGGGGGAATTACTTTTTTTTCCAAGGTGGCTCTGGATGCCCCCAAGAGAACCCAAGATCGCCCCAAGAGACCTCCACGAGTCCCCCAAGAGCTACGGGTAAGCGCTCGAGAGGTCAAAATCATTGAACAACCAAGCGTGAAGGAGAAACGAAGAGGATGGAAGAGGGAAACGGACGCAGCGGGGAGAAGGGAGTGGGAGATGAATGAGGACGAAGAACGGGAGACGCAAGATAACCGAGAGAAAGGGAGAGATCCGGGAGAACAAACAGCGAAGGGTGTGGAAGACGGAAACGCATGAGGGAGGCTGAGAGAGGTAGGAAGGAAAATTCCACAGGGGGGAGGAGAGAAGAGGCGAGATAGGAGGTGGATGTGAAACGGGAGGCGCAGGAAAACCAAGAGCAAGAAAGAATGATCAAGGAGACAAAGCGGCGAGTGCTGGGGGGAAGCGGAAACGCACTCGGGGGCACGCCAAATTCTGGGACAGGAGGAAACAAAGGGGGGAGACGTTGAAAAAAGGGTTTGAGGATTTCCCCTTTTGTTGTCAAGCTGGGTCTCCTACCACATGGTGGTGCAGGATGCTGGGCGAGGGAGGCGGAGGGAGGAAGAAGTGACGGAGAGATGGGGATGAGGGATGGAGGAGCCGAAACAGCATGAGGGAGGCGGATAGAGGAAGGCGTGAAGGAGAGACGAGGTGGAGGAATGAGGGAGAAGGACGCGGCGGGGAGGAGGGAGGTGGAGAGAAAAGAGAAGGATGTGGAACGTGAGCCGCAAGCCACCCAATAACAAGAGAGATATCCAGAAGAACGGACAACGCGGGATGAGGGAAACAGAAAGGCACTCGGGGGCACGCCAAAGCCTGGGACTGGAGGTTGGGGCTTCCTGGGGGCCTATTCGGGGCCTCTTGGAGCCTCTTTTTTCGTGGTTGCTCTGGGGATTTGTCGGCGGTCATCTTTGGTCAGCTAGGGCTCGCCCAAAGCGACCGAGGCCGAGGTCGAGGACGGCGAGGGGCGGACAAAAGCGGCGAGGCGCGCGGGCGCACGGGAATTTGTCCGTTGTCGACCTCGGGGGGCTATCAACGGGCCCCGGGACCGTCAGGCAACGACTCACGCTGAAAAACTGGCCGTAGGGAAGGTGGCCAGACCTCTGGGGGTCCACGCATCAGAAAGACTGGAGCGCCAGATGTCTGGGTATTGCAGTGGCCAGACTCTGAGCGACGTAGCTCGCAGCGTTCCTCGGCTCCTCAGTGTCCTCAGCGTGCGACAGAGCGGTGGGTCTCGTGAAACCCTACCACAGCCGACGTCCACGCAAGAACTCTCCCAAGGGACGGTCCGCGACCTTCAGCCCAGGACCAAAAACCCAGGGCTCCACGGCGGTACCACGTGAAACACAGAAACCAGAGGCGGAGCACGATTAAAACACCCAATGGGGGGTCAGGCTCCAAAACGGGGCCCAACTTAGGCCCTGACCCCCCCCCTCCGCCCCACCTCAAAGGCTACGGCCGGGAACGTCTCTGTCGCATGTCGCGAGGGCGGCCCTGGCGACACGCTACGGCCCACGCGAGTGGATAGCGTGTCGCTGCGATCCTCGGGACGCCGACGCGCGGGAACTGGGACGTGGATAGCACAGACATGCGACGTCCTGACTTTGTCAATACGCGGCCCCCGAAGTCCCGACCCTTTCCCCAGGGACGGCTCTTCATCCTGAGAAGTTCCTCGACGGAAGAAGAGGAAGAGGAGGAGGAGGAGGAAGAAGAGGAAAAGGAGGAGGAGGAGGAGGAGGAAGAGGAGGAGGAGGAGGAGGAGGAGGAGGAGGAGGAGGAGGTGGGAGAGCAGGAGCAGGAGGAGGAGGATGAGAAGGAGGAGGAGGAGGAGGAGGAGGAGGAAGATGAGGAGCAGGAGGGGGAGGAGCAGGAGCAGGAGGAGGAGGAGGAGGAAAAGGAAGGGGAGGAAGAGGGGGATCGGCCCGCCAAAGGAGCGCGGTTGAGGCGGCACGACACGCCGCGACCCGAGGACCGACAAAATCATGTGGCTGGGGAGGCCCGCCTGTCTCTGCGGGCTTGGATGGGCCTGATGTTAGCTTCTGGGTAGCCGTTTTGGGACCGTGGTGGGGCCTCCTCGGGGCTGTTTTCTGGCCTCTCGAAGCCTTGTTTGGGCCTCCTAGGTGCCTTTCGGGGGCCTCCTGGGGCCTCTTGGGGGCTCCTTGGGGCCTCCTGGTCACTCTTCAAGCGGGAGGGTCGAATTTCGCAGTCGTGGTGGCTCTCTTGGGCTGTCTTGTGCGCCTCTGGGGCCGTCTTGGGGCCCTCTTGGGCTGTCTTGGGGGCTTATTGAGCCGTCTTGGAACGTCGGACAGCCGAGCAGGCGGAAAGGCCAAAATCTTTCCAAAACCTTTTTGTAAAATTGACGATTTCGGCCTTTTGAAGCGCTCTGGAGAGTCGTCTTGAAGCGTCGTGGAGTGCCTTGGGGCGCCTCTCGGGCCGTCTTGGGCCTATCTTGGGCGTCCTGGAGCGGTCTTTCGGCGACTCGGGGCCCGCGGGCCGTCTAGGGAGCCTCTGGAGGCCCTCCTGGACTATTTTGGACCTCCCCGGCCGCCCCGTCCTCCCGTGGGGGGTCGGGGCACCTGTTTGTGGGCCCCGGGCCTGCCCCCCAGGTATATATATATATATATATATATATATATACACACACACATATATATATATATATATATATATACACATATATATATACGTGTATATATTTATATATACATGCATGCATGCGTACACACATACACAGACAGACAGACAAGCAAACAGACAGACAGACTGACAACCGGGCAGACAGGCGGACAGACATACCATGTGCGTGGACACCTGTGGGTGTCAACTTTCCGCTGGGTCGTCCCCGACAGTGCCGCCCCCGATCCAACTCCCCGAGGCCTGTGCTGGGTGTGTTCTGACCAGAATGTCGAGGCGGACCCAGCCGCAACGAGGGCGCCCCAACAAACCCCGAAAGACACAGAAACATTCAGACACACGCCGGAACTGATGGGTGATCCGTGGATCTGGCGCGGGGGCGCCAAATGACTGATCGGGGAAAACACACCCGAACCATGGCGCCATGTCGCCTGAGATTGGCGACGGAACCCGCCATTTGGCATTGAAACAGGACCCGATGCCCCCCGCGCGCCATAATCAATGCTTGCGCTTCCTCGAAGCATGGAACGCCCAGACGTCAGAACCTCCTCCCGCGGTGTTCGTCCGCTAACAAGGGTACGTCTTGAGTAAAGCATCGAAGCGAGTCCAACCGTGGCGACGATGTCGCCCCAACAAAACCAGACACACAACATGCTTTGTCACCTGACCGTTCTTCCGCCGCTCCCGCGGGCCCAGCCTCCAGTCCGATCAGCCTCGTCGCGGTCTGCGCCAGCTCCCCCACGTGAGGCGCAAGGGACTGCCAGCGGAGGGCGGTCAAAGAGAGCAGGATGGGGAAACGAGAAAGCGGTGGGAGGAGAAACTGAGCCAGTGAGAACAATCGCGATGCGAGTCGAAAGCTAACTACGAGCGTTTACGAACGAACTTCTCGGCCTTGTTTGAAGAATTTGGTAGCTTCGGTTCGCGTTCGGGGCCCCGGTGCAACATTGGCCCAAGTTCTTGATCATATTACACGCGTAGAAACCACAGCTCGCACGTAACCGCAAGTTAAGACGATGGTACAAACGCATTCGGTAACTATTATGTACCCACCCCCCGCTATGTGCAACATAACCCCCAGGTAGCGCCTCGAAAGACAATCGAAACACATAGGGTGGAAACACATGCTGTCGAGACACCCGATCCGAGGTGCTAAATAAGCTGATCTGATCTGATAGCTGACAAAGAGACGCACAGTGGACGGGGCGGGGGGAGGAGGATATGGAGGTGGCTTCAACTCCTTTTTCCTCGGGCCCTGCAGCTTGGCCAGCTCCCTCTCGGCGTCCATGGCGTCGATGGTGGCTCTGACCAGCATGGGCCTGACCTGATGGGCCTCCGCCTCGGCCCACCTGCCACGGTGCCTGTCCAGCTCCGACACTTTTGCGGCCTAGGCCGCGATGCCAGCCAGAACGTCGGCAGCGGAATTCCCCGCCGCGATGCGATGCGGCGCGCGACCCGCAGCAACATCATCCACCGCGAGGTGCGAGCAGATCCACGTCGCCACGAAGTACTCATGATCACGATCGCCGAGGGCGACCCCGATGCGACGTCAGATGTCGGGGTCCTCTCGTGCCAATTTCGCACGGAGTGAACTGGTGCCGGCCGTCTGCGACCATGCCGTTGTCAATGGCGAAATGTGCGGGCCCTTTTCGAGCGCGTGATGGCGACCAGCATGGCGCGCGGCTCACCCGTCGGTGCACTTTGGCGCGCACCTGGGGGGCTGCCCGTCACGCCTGCCCCCAGGGCCAACGGCTTCAAGAACTTGACCTGCGCTGCTGCAATGCCGACTCCCCTGGCGCGCATCTGCTGAATCGAAGCCGCCGCTGGCATCAGCAAACGACCGCAAAAGCCTGGCGTTCGTGGCCGGAGGAGATGCCGCGCGCGTTGCTGGCGGCGCGCCCAGAAACCCGCCAAATCATCTTGCTGTGCTTGCGACGGCACCTCTGCCCATCTCAATTCCTCGCGGTCAGAAGCACAGCTCCATCGCGTGCCTAGCGATCGCCCGTCCCACGAGGGCCTGCAAGCGGTCGTGCGCGGGAGACCTCGCGCCCTTTGCCGCGTTCCTGGACTCGGTGAAACGCGCGCCCCCCCCCCCCCCCCCCCCTGACATCGGATGCATGTGCTAGACTGTAAGCCACGCGCAGCTCCATGCGCTGCCGACCTCCCGACTCTCGGACAGCTCCCGCCCGTGGCAGCGCGCGGCCGTCGCGGGGCGTGCTCGAAAATGGATGATGCAGCTTGCGAGGGGGAAACATATCTGCGCCGTGCTCCAAACCAGCCCCGCATAAATGTTGCCGCGTTTCGAACCACTGGTCACTTGTTGATGCCTGCAAATCCTGAACCAAACCGTCGGACGCGTCGACGTCGCGGCGCCCCGTCCAAGCCGCATCTGGAAACTGCCGCTCGATGCTGCCCCTGGCTGAGGGCGGCGTCGCTCAGCAGATGGCCGCCTTGGGGCCCCGCCCGTTGTCGAACAGCAGCGCGACCGCAGCTGGCGCGAGGCCTCGACTGCGACGAGAACGCTGGGCTGGAACAGTGTTTCCCGCGTGCTGCTGAGACGCCGTCTCGTAGCCGGGGCTCCGACTGCCGCGCTCTGAACCGCATCCGGATGCGACCCTCGGGCATGCTGGGCCAGGGGTCGCTCGGCGCCTTACAGACGTCGAGAGATGTCAAACGTCGCCCGCGCGCTGCGGGCCCGCGAGCAGCACCGAACCTCCGCCTGCGTGCCGCGAAGTACGAAACGGCGTCACCGTGGATCTGGACGGCGTAGGATCCTGCCGCTCCGGCTCTGAGCCTAGCCTGCTTGGGCGCGGCGCTGAAAGTCCTGCCCCGCGATGTGCACTTGCGAATGTTCCCGTGTACTTCTCAAGCCTCGCCCTCCTGGTTGATCTGACGTGCCCTCGCCCGGCGCGCAGGTCCGCGCTGGGGGCGCTGACCGTCGCGGCGCGCTAGGACTGGAAGCCTGCGCTACGAAGCGCCTTCGATGCGCGCTCTGCGCTCCCACGGCAAGAACGCGCGGCGACGTTCTTCCTGGCCGCCTTGAATCGGAGCATGGCCAGCCCCGGGCACGTAGCCATCGAAGTCTGAATCTAATGGTGCACCGCCGCCTGCCAGCTGCCCAAGACCTGCTGGGGGGGGCCGCCTGCCCGGGCGCGGCGCCCCATGCGCCGGTGGGCCGCGCGCGCGTTCTGCAGCGTGAGCTGCGCCATAATCCGCGCGAGACGCGCGCCTGATTTAGGCCCCTGCGCGATGGGCTGCGCGGGTGCAAGACGCTCGCGCGAAGCTCCTGATTGGCCGGGGGAACAGCGCGACGCGCACTTAGACGCCTCGCGCCGAAGAACCGCTGCAATAAATCCCACTCTCAAACCATTGGGCGACAAGTATCTCCACTGACTGCAACCGTGCAACCCTTCGAAATCGCAAAGGCCATGACCTCGCGGAATGTGCAGCGCGTGACCAACCTCCTCGTGAAGTGTCTCTGCGAGCGCTTCTCGAAAGGCGGCGTTGCGACGCTCTGCTGCGTCCCAGTGCGCAGTCGCGTGGTCGCTCCAATCGGCGGCCCGCGGTTCTCGCGCCAAGGGCCACTGCGATCGCGGTCAGCAGCCCGCTTATTCTGTCACCTCCACATATCTTCGGAAGTAGACCAGCGCGATCATGACCTGGCTGCGCCAGATAATCTCCTCCTCCATTTGCATATGCAGCTCTGCTAGCTCGTCCAGCGGTGGCGCTGGTAACCGCTCGAAGTCGACGGGGCTGAGAGCTGGGCAGCACCTTTGCCAGCGGGAGTTTTCTTGTCATGCGCTGTCAGACGAATCTGCTGACCAGGAATGGTAAGCAACATCTACAACTGCGCCCTCTCCTTCGCCTCGTAGAAACGCGTGTTCAAACTATCCGCGCCGACCAGAGAAGAACACCGAAACTTCTTCAGTTCCTATTTTTGGTTTGGATATTGATGATGTCATTATGATGCGTCGGTCTCTTTGTTTGATGGATCTGTACATCGCGCCGAAAGCATGCGCCGTCTCCATCCACGTCCCAACGCCCTTCGAGAACATTGCCAATGCTTTCCTTTGGCATCGCCCTGCTACCATCTTAGCGCTGGCGGCGAACTACTCAATCTCTTGCCAGCTGGCAACCGTGATCCCACGGACCAATACTTGCCATCGTCTTCACGAGAGGTCTCCGCTTGCCGTGACCCGAAGCTCTGCTTGGGCCTGCTCAAGGCATTCGGCACCATAGTTTCATCACCTCCCTTTTCTATAGGCAAAGCGATCATATCCTTCGGATGCGTCGGTCTCTTGTCATGTGGCTGCGCATCCAGCTGAACAGAGGGCTCGTTTTTGATGGTTCTGTGCAACACGCCCAAGGCAGGCGCCGTCTCAATCCATGACCCATGGCCCCTCAAAGAACTGGCAACTGTTGTCCTCTGGCATCGTCATGCTACCTTCTTGGCGCTGGCGGCGAACGACTCAAACTCCTGCCTGTTGGCAACCATGCTCCCACGGAACAAATATCTGCAACCGTCGGTATGAGGGGTCTTCGTTTGCCGTGACCCGAAGCCTTGCGTGGGCCTGCTCAGGGCATTCGGCGACCAACAAACAAAAGAAAAAACAAAAAAAAGAGGAGGGAGGGGGATTAACATGACGAGGATAAACAGGAGGGAGAACAAGTGGAGATACAGCAGGATGCCAGTCAGCGGTGTGGTCACAGCTTGTCATGTGCACCTCCCCTGTGGATGGTCCATCTGGACAGCCCACCACTGCTGGGACTCGGATTTGAAACAATAATTTTACGATACTGGGAACTGGCTCCTCAACGATCCTGGTCCCCCCCGTCCCGAACCCGCTCCTAGACGGCGGGGCTGGTCAACCATGGCCAGGACACGGGGGTGCGGCCCCTATACGTAATCGTTCGGGCACTGATTTTTTCGAGGAGGATGGAGGTGGAAGATGGATGATGAGGAACGAACCAGCGGGAGGAGTAAGAGGGAGGGAGGGAGGGGAAACGAAAACAAGAAACCTTGGGATAGTGCAGCTGGGCCCTGATGGCCATGCTTCTGCAGCAACTGATGGGGGCCTCCCAGGTCATCTTGCTGGCTCTGGTGAATCGACGCTAACCGACGCGAGTCGACACTAATCAACGGTGACTCGACGTTAATCGGCGCTGAATCTGCGCTGTCTCATCGACCACCAGACGCGAGCGCACGCCAATGACTCGAAAGAGAGAGAGAGAGAGAGAGGGAGCTTCGAGGACATGCAAGACTCCCATGAAGTGCTCACTACGGAAGGCCATGGCTGTCCATGTGCTCCCTGCCTCATCCCCAAAAGCAATTCCATTCGATCCGTTGTCGCGAGCGAGTCGAGACCGAAAAGAAGCCCAGTCAGGTCAATGGCGTCTGTTCGAAGCCCTGTGTGAGCACATCGGTCAACACCGAACGCAGATCGCGATCCATCGAGAGTGTCGTGCCGAATCAGACGTCAGACAATTCAGAACCCGTGCGAATTGTCGGACCGATCGCGTGGCGGACTGCCCTCCGGACCCGGATCAGTGCGGCGAGGCCTCGAAGTCCGCTCCGCCCTGCGGCGGCGCCGTCGGCCCAGGCGCGCCGGCGGGCGGAGCCTCGGATATGGCCTCCTGGGCAGCAGCGGGCCGGTTGCTCCGTCGTCTTCCTGTCTACTCCCCCATGCCATTCGTACGTTGAGCGAACTTCAGGAGCACTGCCTTGCCCCCGTCCTTTTCCTCCTCCTCCTCCTCCTCCTCCTCCTCCTCCTCCTCCTCCTCCTCCTCAGGCCTCTGGTTTCGATGCCTCGCCTCCCGACCGCTCCTCCTGCCACGCGTCCTGCTCATCCTGCTCCTGCTCCTGCCTCTGCTTCCCCTCTCCCCATGCGACTCGTGCTGCAGCGGCCGTTGTTGCTCGTGCTGCCGAAACTGCAAAATGTCCTGCTGCTGCGGCTGGCAGATCTCCGTCCTGCCCGGCTTCTCCAATGTCACGCGACCGAGTCGTTCACAGGTCCCTCGCTAACTGCTGCCAACCAATCCCGGAATGGGGCAGAAGACCAACATCGAATGCCGACTGACAGGCCCCTGCGGCGCCCCTGCAGTGCGAGGGTCGTGCCAGGCGTGCTCGGCACGGCCTTTGGCGCCTCCGGCTCGCCGAGCAAGCAGCAATGACTTCGGCTACTCGTCCTTCCCCTCTCCCCTGCGGGGCGCGGTCCCCGCAGTTTGATCCAAGCGGAACTCCAGTGGTGCGCACACCCGCAACTCCATGCGAAGATACAACACGCACATCACCATCGCCCGACTGCATGCGATCCGAAAACCCACGCGTTGTCGATGAAGGCGGTCGAGGTTGGCGTCTAGGCTCCGTAGGGCTGGGCTCGCGGAAGACCCCGCAGGCAGGCGCAGTCAGTGGCCGTCCTGACCCCCGCTCCCCACGCCGCCTTCACTGGGGGGCGCGGGAAGTACTCGTCCTTCCCCTCCCCCCTGCGGGGCGCGGTCCCCGCAGTTTGATCCAATCACATCTCCATCATCGCGCGCACCTGCAGGTCCATGCGAAATACCAGAACGAATCTCACCAACGCCCAACTGCATGCACACGCCTTTTTGGAACTCCATGGACTGTTGCCTGGCGAACCGAAATCTGGTCTTCACCTGGCTCATGCGCACCATTCTGTCCTGTGAGGCTCCTGGGCACGCATAATTAAGCTTCCAAGCCCGCTCGGCGAAATGAGTAGCCGTGCGCGCACATCTGGTGCACGCACCTGTAACTCCCTCCCTTCGCATAGCATGCCCAACTTCAACAAAGTACCGTTTGGCCTGTATGTGAGGCTCCTCCGTGAAGTCGACCATATGCACTGGCTGGACGTAACCATCACTCAGAATCTGGTCTGCTCCGTCAAGTGCTGTCTGAACAGCGGGCTCGCGCACAGGGTTGAAAGTGAGGCCCCCTTCAGTCCCAAAGAATACATTGGCCTGCATCGATTGCAGGCGTGTGGGAAGGCAGACCTTGCGAGCGCCCCATGAAATATTGCCCAGGTGAACTTGCGACCGCGCAAATGCCCCACAGGATCGGCTTCTCCACTCGCCGTGCAGAATGCCAAAGCGTGTGCTACAAGACCGATATGGCGGGCTTGACCTCTCTGCGCTCGGGCTGCGTCGGGCGCCCTTCATCCCAGAGATTCAACTGAAAGAGACGGCGCTCTTGGCGCCTTCCTTGGCGAAGTCGTCGGCCCACATGTTGCCTGCGACGTGGTCGCAGTTGGCAGCGGGATGGCGACCCTCCCTCCGCCGCGTCCTCCAGCTCCAGGTGAGATGGGCACCAAGTGAACCGTGGCGGCTCGCGACCTAGCGCGCGAACCTTGCCCTGGATGAGCCTCCATATCCGTGCGTGGCGCGCGCCGGCGCCAATATCATGAGCATCCGGCCGGATACCTTCCACCGCCGGTCCAGCCAGGTCCGTGATGGTGCGACTGAGGTTCGGGAAGTACTCAAGCGCCTGCAGTGCGCCGTAGCGTTCGGCAGCCCCGATATTCGGCCCGCTCAAGGCAGTCCACCATGCACCGCTCTGGCTGGATAGCCACCAGGGGCCATCTGTGCGCAAGCCCAACCACAACGCCTCAGCTCTGGGATGCTAGAAGGTATCGCAGATCCACCAATAAATACTTCACCTGGCCAAATAGCGCGATCACCTTCCCATGTGCCCCAGAATTGAACAGGCGGGTCAGCGAAAGCATGCTCCCACTTTCCTGGCGCCCGTGGTATACCTACCGACAATTCGAAGGACTCCACCTCAGCGTTCGGCGTGTACAGAGTACCGTGCTCCATGATGCTGTCCCGAAGCTTGGTGAGCTCCTCTGGCATTGGTGGGCCTTCTTCCTCCTCGCCGCACGTACTCCCAATAGTGTCACATGCGAAGCATAGGTGCCCTATCGTCTCTTTCTCGCGTCCGCAACCTCGGCATGACGCATCAGGAACCTTACCGGCAGCAATCGAGACTTGGGCCATGACGAAGACGACCATAATGCACGCAGCGCCCCCGCCATCTTAGGATTGACAAGCGCGGCGCCCTTGCCCCCGACGCAAGATCTCATGCAGCGAGCCCAAAGGGTAACGCCCGTCTCCAACTGCGGGTGGTGCTCGGCAATGCGCGTCATCTGCCATTTCTGTATACTGGCGCGCAGTAGGTCGCGCATAAACATGGGGTCGAGCAAAAGCAAAGACCAAGCGTGGCCCTGATCGTCCTGAAGAAGCGCGGAAGACAGCATCCGCCACCCCACCCCCCTTGACAAGGATAGAGACACGACTGCCAGCGGACCTCTCGCCTCGCCCATGTAAGCTGTGTATGCTGTAGTTGCTGCCGTGCTCGATCCAACCTTCCAAGACTGACCAGTTGTCCCCAAACAACCCGATGGTAAGCAAACACAAGCGCTATAGTCGCTTCGAACACTGGGTCGTACACAGGGTCGGTTTGAGTGGCCAAGTGCAAAGTGCAGCGTGCTGCTAGCCCCCCTTCTCGGATGGCCTGCAAGATCTGCGGCCGCCCGTCGCAAGTCCCGCTACCCAACATCCGCGACCCCGCTTGCGGCTGCCCCGTGCGCAGCCGACTGCTGCAAACCCGTCCGCCACAATCTAGCCGCCTTCAAGCCCACTGTGCGCTTGAAGGCGTGGACACGCTTGAGTCTTTTGTGCAATAGCTTGAACCTCTTGCTCGCCACCGTGCGCTTGCCCACCTGCCCGCGCAGCTCGTGCCCAGGATTCCTCATGCGTCGTTGCGCCGGGATCCGGCAAAAGAGCGCAATAGACTTAGATGCCGCAATCGCCGCCGGTGAAGTAGATGCACAGCCAGACTTGCTAGCCTGAATAAGAAGCCCCAAGTCCTTGGCGTCGGCGATGAAACCCTTGCTATCCACTGCGCTGAAACGTCGTCCACCAACGCTCTGGGTATCGCATCATCTCTGCGCATGCGCCTGATCGCCTTGGCTGTGGGCACCGTAGGTAACGTAATTGATTGACTGCAACCAGCCAACATGCCCTGCCAAGACTAGAAGGAAGTCGAGATCGACCCAAATCGCTTGATCGCCCGTGGCTGAATCTGATACTGTAAGGTCGTCCAAGTGAGACGCATCAGGAATTTCTCCATCCTGCTTTGCTCAAGCAACGCTTCTGGAAGCACGCGCTAAAATGCTTTCCACGCGTCCAAGAGTACTGTCAACGAGTGCCCTCCCCGCAGCCATCCCATCTCATATGATAAGTTGTGATCAACAACCGATGCCGAAGAGGATCTCCCCGCTCCTCCTGTGCCCCAAATATCTGGTAGGCCAGCCCCCCGAATCCACTGTCGTGATATCTCGGCCCTCGTGCGGGGCCAGAGTCGCAACGTGGAGTGCACCAGACAGATTAGTCAGCTGCCTCCGTCAGGCTTCGCTAGCCTCACCAGAACGTTAACCGCTCTCCCCCCAGGCCAGTAACCCAGCGACTCGCACCGAACAAAGAGCTGCCCAAGAACCTGCAACACCTTGCCCGATAAATGAGCAAACGCCCCCGGCGCAACGCCTGTCTGCCCAGCTGACGTAGGCGAAAGCGAAGGCTGAATCCCGCAACTGACTGTAGTATGTATGTATGTATGTATGTATATATATATATATATATATATATATATATATATATATATCAGGTAACGCTTCCCATTCAGGGCGATCATCAGGCTTAGGCAGGCCTCCGAGTTTATGCTACTGCCAGACCTGCTTCCATTTGCCCAGTTCACGATCGGCAAGATCATGTGGACTGGCATGCACCATGGGCTTCAAACGTTCTGGAGCGACAGGAACCCTGGTGTACCGATGCACCGCGCCATCTCCTCGCAGGAATGCCTGGTCGGCCCGCAGCTTCCACGCCATGTGGCGCCCATGTATGCCAGCCTTGGTTTTGCCCTCGGGCTCCTGTAAAATGCGGTCGGCGACCTCGTCGGACTCGTCAGATGCCAGAGCGCCAACGCCAGCCAACGAGAACCTCTGAACGTCATCTGGCAACTCCTTCAACACCTCCTTCACTGCCTTGATCAGATGACCACGCTGCTGATGAGAAATGGGGCACAGCGCGCGCGAGGCTGACAGGTCCTTGCAATACCCGGTGAGATGCCCTTGTGCATTGCGTGGGTGAGTAGCCCATCGCGCCGCGACCTGCCAGCAATGTGTGGTCTTGTCAGTGTAGTTGCGCTTCCTCGGCGGACGCCGCTGGAACTTCTCCCACTTCGATTGCGCCGAGCCACCTCGCCCTATGTGCGTGCGATCGTTAGCCCCTCGTAGATGCCGCCTCGCAGCGAACTCCTTCTCCGACGCGGTAACCGCAAACCCCCATGCCTGAGTGAGCTTGGCAGGCTCGTCAACAACAACCACTTGGGGCGACGGGCCGCGCCGTGCATGTCCGTTGGGGTAATGAGCGCAGCCCGCTGGCGGTGTAGCCGAAAAACCCAATGGTTCGACCAGCGCTCGCCTCCAAGTTGAGCAGTCGTTGACCAACAAAGGGAACAGAACAGGATAATGCGCTGGTGTCGCTGTGTCTTCCTGCAGAGCGGGAGGTCCCATCCAGGGCAGAAGATTGCGAGCCACCAGTGCGTAATCGTACACCGTGCCAGCTGCGCTCTTGGCACATGTAGGCCCGTCATTAAAGATCAACTGCCCGCGCACTTGAGACAGCCGCGGATCCCCCCAACAATGCGGCTCAACGTTCCAGCCCCCAAGCACTATCCAATCCATGCCCGCGCGGTTGAGGGGCCCAAGGTGCCGGCAGATGCCGTGCGCCAGCGCGATATTGCCCTCGCCGGGGCCCTCGGCATCGTGCATATAAGCGCCCATGGCAATAATGCCTTTAGCCGCTCCCCGGTGCAGGTGTGCCGCGACAAACCTGCCTTCAGGAAGCTGTGCTTGGTAGAGAAAAGGCGCCTCTGCCGCCGCCGCGTCGGTGCTAGTCAACGCGGCTACCCCGCCGCTGGCGCCACCAGCCTCTGTAATCTCCGCCTCAGACCAGCGCCCATGATAAGATCCAAGGCCTGTCGACGAACAGAATGTAGACGATCACCTCTGTTGCGATGCTCTTGAACAGCAAAGACTTTGACACGATGGGGCGCGATATATATATATATATATCCGATGAGGGCGCCTGCGCCCGTGGCGTTAACAGAAGTAATTCCACCTTTGGCCTGGGTAGCATCGCCATCACGCGTGTCCACATGTACTGCAGACTTCTGCCCTGCAGAAGCAGTGGCTGGTGGCGTCGCCGATCCTAAGCCACCAAAACCCGAGATCCTCGGTCTCGGCCGCAGTCGCATGATCTGCGCCGCCGAGCCTTCCAAGGGATGAGGTAATACCACGCTCAACCTGCGTCCGCGCCACTGGCCCAACCAAGGTGCACCCAGAAAACGTCCCCCCAAAGATCCTCGGTCTCGGCGACTGACGCGACACCAGCGCCACCGAGCCTTCCAATGGAAGTGGCAATACCGCACAACTCCGCTGCCCTTGTGACTGGCGGCGTAGCAAGGGACCCATGCTTGGCCTCAGCCTCCATCGTGTAAGACATCATCATGACCCACCAAATAAAGGCACGTACCGTCCTCGACCTGCATGTACTACACCACTCAATCCCACGGGCTGTATCGACAGACGCGCCTGTGCAGTATGTCGGCCGCAACCCGTAACTTACTGGCGTCGTAGTCCTGCAGTGATTCAGGAGAACAGATACCAGCTTCCAAGAAAAGGGCTCGCATATCTTCCCCTGCGAAGGACGTGGTTGCGCTGCGGGATAAGGGGCAGCAGGCGCCGAACTTGCAAGAGCTTGTCCATCGCCTGGCGCATCGTCCCGGCGAGGCACCGCCACATCTTGACCCGAAGATGGCGGCCCCGCTCCAACCAATGAAAGCACCTCTTCTTCCTTGACGATCGGTGCGAGCAACTCGGCCTGTATGCCGTGCTTTTTGAGCACCTGCTCCAGCGCCTCCACCGCGAATGCCTTCCTTGGCCCAGCGCCCTCGCACACGCCAGATCGGCGTTGTCCTTCACGGGCGGGCTGCACAGGCTCCTGGGCCAGCTCGAGCCTCTTGGCTTCCAGCTCCACTTGCTGAGCTCGAAGCTGGGCCAGTTACTCCTCATCAGCTTTGCCAGCCTCCTGAAGCTGTCAAGTCAATTTGGCCCGCTCCTCCGACTGGCCCTCAACATTAGCAATACGACCTCCAAGTTGATGAATACGTCTGTTGACCTCCTGGATCTGGATCCCCACGGGCTTCTGCTCTCGCTTTTGCGACAGCAGCACGTCACGTTCTTTGACAAAAGTCGCCCGCGCCTCCGCCAGCTCGGGAATGTCACGCACCAAGGACTCAGGAAACTTCTGCAATTTCCCATCCCAAATCTGGAGCCTCTCGTCAGCTCGAGCAAGGCCATCCCCAGGGACAGCCCCACCATTACCATCAGGAGCATCACCCCTGCCCATGTCTTCGTCGGAAGGTGCATTGCCACGTTCCGCATCTCGCAGTCGCGCCTGTAGTTGCTCAACCTGCTTCTCCAGTCGGCGATAGCGATCCTGCTCCCATGGCGAAGCAGGCCCCGTCCCCGCCCCAGCCTTGGCTCGAACACTATGCGACGGCGCCCCCCCCCCCGTGGTTGTCTTGTTGCCTCCGAAACATACACCTTCATGCAACTTGCACTGCACACAAGACAAATGCACACCGTAATTACAAAACGTCTTACCCTTGCTATGACCCCACGCATACACACACACGACTTGCAATACCAATCCTGCCGAAGACTCTTCCTATCGTGCGCCGCGCCACACATCCTCTTCTCGATGGCACCGCAGCAACACCCAGAACTAATCGTATAGCCGTGGTGTAAACAGTGCGAGCACAGGAAGGCGCCTGAGCTCGAAGGGTGGTGTACAGCAGGTGAGCCTGGAGGAACCAGGAGAAACTGTGAGGGCCATGATTTCCCTTCTGCCACGACGCTCCTGCCGCTAAGGTCCGAAACAGCTTGAGCCAAAATGGCTACGGACCTCCTCCTCCTTCTCCTCCTCCTCCTCCTCCACCTCTTCCTGTCCTCTTCCTCCTCCGCATTTTCCTTCCTCTCCTCCGCCTTCGTTTCCACCGTCTCCTCCTCCTCCTCTTCCGCCTCCCCCTCCTCCTTCTCGTCCTCGTCCTCGCCCTCCTCGTCCCCC